GAGGGCACAGACCTGGTGCTAAAGGAAAACAACATTCCATACTTTGAGATCAATGCCAAGGAGGTCATCGGCAGGGAGCAGGCCTTTCAGACAATTGTTCAGAATGTACTTAAACAGGAAACGGGTGGCGCTGTACAGAGAATTCCCTGAACCTATCAAACTTGACAAGAGTGACTGGGCCAAGGCCTCTGCAGAGAGCTGAAGTTGCTGAAGGGGGCAATGAGCATAGAGCACAGAGACCTCTCCAGACCAAGAACACATGTAGCCTGCAATACAACATCCACACCTCCTCTAAAACAGAACAGAACAGAACATGATCCACGGGGAGTAAAAGTTCATAGTTCATCTGTGTCTAATTGTATGATTTTTTTTAAAAATCATCTTGTGGTCTTTTACCCCCATCCCTCCTTGAAGGTCCTATGCTCCATTACAGACTCTCACCCAGTCTGAATAGGCCACATTTTCTTTGTATCTGTTAGTGCTTTTTACTCTTAACTAATTGGATCTTTTTACAGTATTCATTTATTATGTAATACTTCTTAGAAAAGAGTCTTATAGTACATGTTAATATATGCAACCAATTAAAATGTATAAACTAGTGTAAAGAAAGAATTCCTGGATTGTGTGTTTAAGTCCTCTAATGCAGGCTTGCAAGGTTGAGAGAGTTGAACCAACCCTGTCTGGATTACAGAGTGTTAGAGACTCAGAATTTGGAAATCCAGCTAGTGGCAGTACTGTGTACAGTGTACATGAGAATTATATAAGCTGTTTATCAAAAGTGTAAGAGCCAGAAAGCTTTTTATCTCTCCAGAGGGTAAACTGAATGAGACAGTTCCCTTCTGTATATAAATTTTTCAGAAAGTTGGTTTGTATAATACAGTAGTGTGGGAATGGATAAATTGCTATTCAGTAATTAAAATTCTCATTTTTCCCTTAAAAATATTTTAAAAGGAAGAAAAAAGATACTAGAAAAAGAACTATATATGATGTGAGAGAAAAATATCAGATCAAAAATTAACAAAATAGAGAATTATAAAGCATTAGCAGAGCAAAGTCAGTGAAACCCAAAGCTAGTTCTTTTTTATAAAAAACAAATTGACCAAAAAAAACAAAAATGCTGGGCGTGGTGGTGCACACCTTTAATCCCAGCACTCAGGAGGCAGAGGCAGGCAGATCTCTGTGAGTTCAAGGCCAGCATGGACTACATAGTGAGTTCCAGGACAGCTGGGGCTACAGGGAGACCCTTGTCTCAAAAAGAGACAAAAAAAATTGGCCTGCATTTAGTAGAATTAGCTAAGAAAAAGACTCCTTGAGTTGCTGGAGTTTAATGAAAAAGGAAGCATTACTGCAACCTTACAGGAAAAAATGGTAATGAAGAAATTCTGTGAATAAATATATGCCAGGAGGATCAATGAGTTGGCTCAGTGGTTAAGAGCACCAATTGCTCTTGCAAAGGAGCTGGGTTCAGTTCCCAGTACCCTTCTTGCAGCTAACAACCATCCTTAACTCCAGTTCCAGTGGATCTGACTCCTTCTTCTGACTTCCAATGTACACTTACAATACATGCAGGCAAAGGCATGCACATAAAATAAAATAAATTTTAAAATCTTTATTTTTAATTTTATTTATTACCTATTATGGCTGCTATTAGGGTGTGTATATGTACATGCACACATATATGCTTTATTTAGAATACTGCCTGCTATCCAATAAGCTTATTACTGTGCTACTGATGGAGTCCTTCTCAGAACTGAATTTCTGAAATGCGCATTTCCAAGGTGGAGGGCAAGGCCAGGGACACAGGTTAATAATTACTAAAATTATCATATGCAGTTAATATATGTTAATAACATCTAAGTCAAAAAGATAGGAAACGATCCCAGGGAAGATGGGGGGCCATGAAATGGCAAGAACAGAACTGAGGAACTTGAGTCAGAGAACAAGAAGCCAGTAGAGGAACTTCCGTTAGAGAAGAGTGAAAGCCAGGAGATCCCCTCATGAGAGCCACATGGGTTGGAAAAGAGAAGACCCAGGGAATGTCATCCTTCAAGTAGATCCCACTGGAACCCAGTGTGGGGACTGTGGGATGGATCTAATGGACAGGGAAAAAGCTGGAGATAGAGGTAAAGGGAATTCACTGAGGCTGGCTCTGTGACTATGCAGTAGCTAGAAAAAGGAAGATTCGTTTTCTTTGATTTGGGTTAAAAGAAAAGAGACGCGTGTGTAGTGGTCCAACCAATTTTGAGTGGAAAAAATTTTAATTATAAAATTTGGAAGTTAAACTTAGGTAACCAGTTTGCTTCTGCTAAATGGGAAGCATTATCTGTGGGCGGAAGTGGGAACGGAAGAAATTACAGTGTTTCTAACCAGCTGTAAATGTTTTCTCTAATTTTGCCTTCTGCACAAATGGAAGACACATGACATACCTCAGTTACAGCAGTAATAGTTACTAAGCCATAAATCCCTGTCAGGTCCCATGCTAAGATCTTATTTCCACCTAGACGTCCACTAAGGATAAGTAGTAGTACTTCTTCAGGGATAATCTGAGTGGACAGAAAAAACAGACACTAGCTGTCCTCTACAGTGATTACCACTTTTAAATTTATTTATTTATTTTTAATATTTTATTTTTTCTTTTTTTAATATTTTATTTATTATTTTATTTTATGTGTATGAGTGTATTGTCTGCATGTATGTGAGTACACCCATGTTGTGCAATGCTGCGGAGGTCAGAAGAGGACTTCAGATTCCCCTGGAACTGGAGTTAAGGACGGTTCATAGCCACCATGTGCATTCTGGGAATCAAACCTGGGTCCTCTGCAAGAGCAATCAGTGCTCTTAAACACTGAGCCATCTCTCCTATATCTCTCCAGCCCCAATATTTATATTTTTATATTTATATTTTTATTTTATGTGTATGAGTGTTATGCCTGCATGTAGGTAAGTGCACCATGTCGTGCATTGCCCACAGAGGACAGAAGAGGCTGTGGGGTTCCCTGGAACTGGAGTTATGGACAGTTGTTAGCTCCCATGTGGGTGCTGGGATTCGAACCCAAGTGTTCTGCAAGAACAGTCGGTGTTCTTAACCACTGAGCCATCTCTCCAGCCCTGATTACTACTTTTAATGTTTTAGTGCATCTTAACCCCATATTTTAAAAAATATATAGTAGGAATCAGAACATCGATTGTATATGGCAGAGTAGAGATTAATTTAGGGGGCACAAGAGAATTTTCTGGAGTAAAAAGAATGTTTTATAATTGGGGCAGTTGTTTATGTAGGTCTCTTTTAGAAAAATCTAACTGAATTGCATATTTAAAATCTTGTGTTAAACTGTAAATTTTGAGGAGGGCCTTTTTTTGAGGGGTCTTTTTGAGACAGGGTCTCCCTGTAGCACCAGCTGTCCTAGAACTCACTATGTAGACCAGGCTGGCTTTGAACTCACAGGGATCCACCTGCCTCTGTCTCCTAAGTGCTGGGATTAAAGGCATGCACCATCACGCCTGGCTTTTTTTGGCCTTTTTGAGACAGGGTCTCCCTGTAGCCCCAGCTGACCTCGAACTCACTATGTAGACCAGGCTGGCTTTGAACTCACAGGGATCCCCCTGCCTCTGTCTCCTAAGTGCTGGGATTAGAGGCATGCACCATCACGCCTGGCTTTTTTTGGCCTTTTTGAGGCAGGGTCTCCCTGTAGCCCCAGCTGACCTCGAACTCACTATGTAGACCAGGCTGGCTTTGAACTCACAGGGATCCCCCTGCCTCTGTCTCCTAAGTGCTGGGATTAGAGGCATGCACCATCACGCCTGGCTTTTTTTGGCCTTTTTGAGGCAGGGTCTCCCTGTAGCCCCAGCTGACCTCGAACTCACTATGTAGACCAGGCTGGCTTTGAACTCACAGGGATCCCCCTGCCTCTGTCTCCTAAGTGCTGGGATTAGAGGCATGCACCATCACGCCTGGCTTTTTTTGGCCTTTTTGAGGCAGGGTCTCCCTGTAGCCCCAGCTGACCTCGAACTCACTATGTAGACCAGGCTGGCTTTGAACTCACAGGGATCCCCCTGCCTCTGTCTCCTAAGTGCTGGGATTAGAGGCATGCACCATCACGCCTGGCTTTTTTTGGCCTTTTTGAGGCAGGGTCTCCCTGTAGCCCCAGCTGACCTCGAACTCACTATGTAGACCAGGCTGGCTTTGAACTCACAGGGATCCCCCTGCCTCTGTCTCCTAAGTGCTGGGATTAGAGGCATGCACCATCACGCCTGGCTTTTTTTGGCCTTTTTGAGGCAGGGTCTCCCTGTAGCCCCAGCTGACCTCGAACTCACTATGTAGACCAGGCTGGCTTTGAACTCACAGGGATCCCCCTGCCTCTGTCTCCTAAGTGCTGGGATTAGAGGCATGCACCATCACGCCTGGCTTTTTTTGGCCTTTTTGAGGCAGGGTCTCCCTGTAGCCCCAGCTGACCTCGAACTCACTATGTAGACCAGGCTGGCTTTGAACTCACAGGGATCCCCCTGCCTCTGTCTCCTAAGTGCTGGGATTAGAGGCATGCACCATCACGCCTGGCTTTTTTTGGTCTTTTTGAGCGGGGGTTTCCCTTACGCCCCAGGTGTCCTGGGACTCCCTGTGTGGACCAGGCTGGCCTTGAACTCACACAGAGCTGCCTGCCTCTGCCTCCTGAGTGCTGGGGTTAAAGGCATGCACCACTACGCCCGGCAAAACTAATATATTTTAAGAAGCAATGTAGTATAATGAACTGTCGCTGAGGTTAGTGGTGACCTGGGTTCTGACTCTACTGCCACTGCCTAATGGGCATTTTGGAGCCAGCTCTTTGGTCTCCCTGTGCTTGTTTCTGTGTTGGTTCGTAAGTGGACTGGCCTAAGAAGTGAGGGTTTTTGGGCTTATGACTTCATGAGCCCTGTTTATTCACATGAACCTTTCATGAATTAAGTCAGTTCACCTACAAGGCATATGGAAAGTAAGGTGTCTTGCTTTTTATGTTTTGAAACAGGTGACAACCAAAGCCAAGCAACTGAAGGATTCAGTCACCTGCTCCCCAGGTGAGTTAGTTCCCACTTCACTGTTAATACAAACAAGATCCTTTTTATAACAACTTCTTTAAATACAAGGGATGATAGTTTGCCCAATGAACTGTACTGATCTTGTCTCTGTGAAAGAGGTTAGAAGCACCAACAAGTCACTCTGGTTTAACATTCTGTTGGTACTGAGAAGTTGTATTTAATACATTTAAAGAATTACAGTGTTGGGGCTGGAGAGATGGCTCAGTGGTTAAAAACACTGACTGTTCTTGAAGAAGACCTGGGTTCGAATCCCAGCACCCACATGGCAGCTAACAACTGTCTGTAACTACAGTTCCAGGGAATCGACGGCCTCTTCTGTCCTCCATGGGTATTGCACGACATGGGTGTACTTACCTACATGCAGGCAATACACACATACACATAAAATAAATAAAGAATTACAGTGTTGCCAGGAGTGGCGGTGCACACCTTTAATCCCAGGACTCGAGAGGCAGAGGCAGGTGGATCTCAGTGAGTTCAAGACCAGCCTGGTCTATACAGTGAGCTCCAGGTCAGCTGGAGACCCTGTTTCAAAAAAAGACCAAAAAAAAAAAAAAATTACATTGTTATACCCTGAGATCCCAGTTACCCCAGGAAGGATTTACTTTGGTGCTCTTCTGACTTAGGAAAGCATTTTCATCTCCTTTTCTACAAATAAAGTGATCATCTAGGCATGGAAACAGAGAGACAGTGGCATGCTATGCAAAAGAAGTCTACATCCAAGACTTTCTCCAGAGCATGTTGCAGGTTAGAGTGAGAAACTGACATAAAGCTTGCTTTGTTGTCTCCTGAGTAGTTAGGTAGTTCTATAGGTACTTACATGCACATGTCTTTTTTGAGAATTTCACACCATCATTCCCACTCCTCCCAGTCACCCTCCAACTCCTTCCATGTTCTCACTCCCTCACCATTTCTTGTCCTCTTTATTATTGTTACGTGTTTATACAGACATTTGTAAATATATGTAGTGCACCAGGTCCATTTAGAGGTACACATTGAGTACATGGGTTTAGGGCTGCCCACTTGGGATTAGATAACCTCTCAGTAAGCTGGTCCCTGTAGAAAACCGATTCTCCCTCTCAGCATCCATTGATTGTAGCTCTTTATCTTGAGGTGGGTCCTCATGAAATTTCTCCCATGTACCTTGGCATGTCAGCTGGTTTTTCATTATGCAGATCTTGTTAGGCTGCCACGCTGTGGAGATTTCCTTAGTGCAGCTTCCCTATCATGTCTAGAATGCAGAAACTAGCAGCGGGTGTCTTGTCCCTCTTGACTCTTAAGAGTCTTTCTCCCCTTCTTCCTTGATGTTCCTTGAGCTTTAGGTGTAGAGGTTGCATTGTAGATTGTGTCACTTAGGGCTGGGCACTTCACAGTCACTCTCTGCATGTTGATCAGTCGTGGAACTTTGTAAGTATATGTGTGTAGCTGAAGGCCATACAACAGAAATCAAGGTGCCAGGCAAGGGAATCCTCCCTTTGTTGTTGGTCAGGATAGTCCAAGAGACTCCCAAAATAACACAGGCTATTGCACAGCCTTTGATTGCCTCCCAGAACTTGAGGGTAAGACCCTATTGCTGAAGACACAACATACTTCAGCTTGGAGCAAGTGAGCTGAAACTGACCTGGAAGCTTCCTCCCTGAAGATTAGTAAGTTGTCATGGGAGAAAACCAATCAAAGGCCCTACCCAACTGTAAAACCTATGAACCACAACCAACACCTTATCTCTTTTGGCAATCTGGGCGGGTAAAGAACAGCTGCCTAAGTGTTAAGTGAACAGCCCATTCAATAGGAAGAAATCCATGCATGGTACTGTAAACATAGCCAAGTTCATATGGTTGGAGAGGTCATAGACCCTAGAAGAAAAACCACTGTCACTTTCTGAGACCAACATAACTCACCATTCATCAAAAAATCAGGAAACAGTACTCTCAAAAGTGTAGTATGCAGAATAGTCCTTTTAATCACAGCACTTTGGGAGGCTGGGGCAGGAGGATCAGGAATTCAAAGCCAGTCTCAGTTACACCTCAAATTGAAGTCCAGTCTGTGTTAGATGAGACCCTGTCTGAAAAAAACCCAAAACAATGAAAACCAAAAATGCAAAATGGTCCTCTGGAGTATAGGAAGACTACGTTAGGACTTTGTCTGTGTTTATTTTTATCTTAAAACAATGAGAAAGGAACAGGCTATTATTTAATATACAGACCTAAGCTAGACTCTTGGCTGTATTTTTTTATCAGAGGACACATGTTCCATGTGGACTGAGATTGCCCAAGAGATTGCCTGTGGGAATTCCACAGGTATGACGGTTGGTGGTGGGCTTATCCCTCCTTCTTTTACTTCACCTTACCTCGTTGAATGGGTTTGTGAATACCTCTAGTATCAGTGATATTTTTTTAAAAATTTTATTGAAGTTTTGTGGTTTTCATACAATATAATTTGATGATATTTAGATCCCCTCCCCTATCTACAGCTTCTCCCACTGCCCCCCAATCCAATTCAATGTACTCCAGATCTATACAATACCACATGTAGAGTCTGATTTGTGTCCCCACATGTCCCTCAGCATGGATCCATCCCCTAGAGCCTGGTCAACCTACCAAAAGTCCCATCCCTATAAGAGACTGTCTCTCCCACTCCCAATAGCCATCAGCTACCAAAAGTTCCTTAAGTTGAGTTGGGATTTCTTACCCACTACCCCACTTCCCCATGTCTGCGCTGGTATTTTATCTGATTTGAGCTTGCATAGGACTTGTGCATGCTGTCACCATTGCCGTGAGTTCATATGTGTAACTGATCAGCTGTCTGGGAAACTGTTTCCTTGTAGTCATCCACCCCCTCTGGCTCTTAGAATCTTTCTGCCCCCTCTTCTGAAATAATCACTGAGCTTTGAGAGGCAGGAGTTTGAAATAGGTGTCCTATTCAGGGATAAGCTCTCTGCAGCCTCTTGTGCTCTGCACATTGGCCAGTGATTAACAGAAACAGTGACACTTTTTAATAACATGGAGAGCAACCATGGAACTATTTTATACCAAACAAAGGCACCTAGTAGCTTAACAAAGTGCTTTTTAAAAAGTTAGTAAGGGGGATGGCTCAGTACTTAAGAGCACTGGCTGCTCTTGTAGAGGACCTGGGTTTGGTTCCCAGCACCTACATGGCCACTAACAACCATCCATAACTCTAGTTCCAGGGGATCCGACGCCCTCTTCTGGCCTCTAAGGGCAGTAGGCACATAGGTGATACACTTACAAACATACAGGCAAAACACTCATACACATAAAATAAAAATAAATAGATCAAAAAATTTAAGTTAGTGAATTAAAATTTTACATTTTGGGGACTGGAGAAATGGCTCAACAGGTAAGAGCACTAACTTCTGCAGAGGACCTGGGTTCAATTCCCAGCACCCACATAGCAGCTAAAAACCATTCTTTTTTTGGGGGGGGGGAGACAGGGTCTCCCAGTAGCCCCAGCTGGCCTGAAACTCACTATGTAGACCAGGCTGGCAGCATGCGCTACCACACCTGGCTTAAAAACCATTCTTAACTCAAGTTCCAGAGGATCTGATGCCTTCTGCTGACCTCCACAGGCATTGGATGACATAGGTGTACTTACACACATGCAGCAATACACTCAATGCACATAAAATAAAAACAATAAATAAAAATTTTTAATATATTTTTATTTTATGTGCATGAGTGTATTGCCTACATGTGGGTAAGTGCACCCATGTCATGCAATGCCTGCAGAGGACAGAAGAGGACGTCAGATCCCCTGCCATGTAGGTTCTGGGCTTCGAACCCAGGTCTTCTGCAGAAACAACCAGTGTTGTTAACCACTGAACCATCTCTCCAGCCCAATATAAAATATTTTTAAAATGCTCAAAATTTTACATTTTTATCAACAAAATTCTACACTTGGTTCCAGATATTAAGTTTCTACAAAATAAAGGTGACTTTAACAGTGAATGTGAAAGTAACTGCTTTGAAAGATATTTGTGCTGCAAAAAGAACATTTTGAAAACAGATGTTTGAAAGCAATTTCTTTGTTAATTTGTAGCCAAAATGATATAGCATTAAAATTTCACATGGTGGTGCACGCCTTTAATCCCAGCACTCCGGAGGCAGGCAGATCTCTGTGAGTTCAAGGCCAGCCTGGTCTACGTAGTGAGTTCCAGGACAGCTGGGGCTACAGGGAGACCCTGTCTCAAAAAGACCAAAAAAAAAAAGTCTCATTTCTACAGATTGATAAAATACTGAGTGAAGACTTTTAACCTCTGAATCCTTCAAACAAAATGAACTTGTTAAAAATATACATGTAAGCCTGGTGTGGTGGTGCATTCTTTTTAATACCAGCACTCAAGAGGCAGAGGCAGGCAGATCTCTGTGAGTTCAAGGCCACCCTGGTCTACATAGCAAGTTTCACACCAGCTGGGGCTACAGGGAGACCCTGCCTCAAAAAAAGACCAATAAAAAAAGTGTGTGTGTGTATGTGTGCGCATGCACACACGTGCACACACACATTTGTACAGTTTGGTCCATGTAGTGGTCAGAGAACAACTTGTAAAAGTCTGTTCTCTCCTTCCACTATGTGGCTCTTGGGGATCAAACTTGGGTCATCAAGCTTGTTGGCAAATGCCTTTACCCACAGAGCCAGTACACTGGCCCAATGTTTTTCTGAAGACAGTAAAGACAGCTTGGAAACTTAACCACGCTGCAAAACCAGCAGACATGGAAAAAATAGGTTCTGATTGCCAGTCTTTCAAGGTAAACTTACAGTTGTGGTGGTGGGCAGTGCTAATAGAGGAAAGGATGACGGTCAGTGAATACTGCCCATGTTTATATTAATGAAAGGAACATGGGTCAGCAGGCCCAATTTAGCCACCATTACAGGTATGGCTATGAGCATGGCTCTCCTGTCAAAAGACTCTTCCTACACACCGGTCTCACATTTTCCCTGTCTTATGCTAAAGAAATTTTCAAAAAAAAATTTTTCAACACTATGTGTCTGTCTGTAACACCTAACAGTAACAAGCGGCTGCATGCTGTCTCACTAAAACTGTTATTAGTCACTTTTCTGTTGCTATGATAGAAACACTGAACCAAGAAATTTATAGAAGGAAGAATTTATTTGAGCTTATGGTTCCAGGGGATTTACAGTCCATGGCATGGTGGCTGGAGGTGGCTGGAGCAGAAGCTGAGCTCTGGCATCACGAATTTTTTGGGGTCTCCATTGCCAACCAGGTTTCACCTTCACAGCTTCATGCAGTGGCCTATCAGGGCCTTCTCCAGGCAGAAGTACCCCTGCTTCACACTGCCTGGCCTCAGTGGCTCTCTGAAACCTTGGAGGAAGAACTGATGACCCCTTCACTCTTGCATCTTTCATGCCTCTAAAAGCCAGCACCAAGTGAACAACAATGCCAAGTTTGACTGTAAATTTGGGATGGACTCCAGCCTGCTTTATCCATTTTAGAAGCCTTTCTCTTCAGTGGTTCCTGCAGCATTTTCCTTTCACAAGTTAGAGGCTTAACTTGGTGTGGTCTTGCCCTGGAGGCACTCTCTCCATTGTTTAAGTTTGAATCTCTAGGCACCTCCTTAATCACTTTAATCTCCTTAATCACTATAATCTCCTATGAGTGAGATACTCTCCATCACACACCAGGGCTCCAACATTTGTCTTCCTAGTGCTGTTTTTCAATCCAAACTCTTTCTTTCTGCCCCATTTGCTCTCTTTCACTGTAGATCTGCATAATATTCACCATTAATAGCCATACCACCTTTTCTACATTAGGCTGCCTTGAAATTTCTTCTGCCATAGAAATTAGTCCATTACTTTTCAACTTAGCCTCAGGCAAGCTTTTTGGTCTAGGACAGACTCCAGCCAAAATATCCCAAGTGCTGCTTAAGTCCTTATTTCCCTCTGGAACTACATTGTTCTCTGCACTGCTTTCTTCCAGGCACTTACTAGAATGGCCTGTTAAGCTCTGCTTACAGCAGTCAATCAGTTTTCTAGCCCAAACTTCCAAAGTCTTCCACATTTCTTCGAAAACCCCACGTGGTCAGGTTCTTCACAGCCAACAGCCCACTCTCTGGTACCAATTACTGTATTAGGCACTTTTCTTTTGCTGTGATAGAAACACTGACCTAAGCAATTTATAGAAGGAAGAGTTTATTTGAGCTTACGGTTCCAGGGAAATTACAGTCCATCATGGCAGGGAGGCATGGTGGCTGGAGCAGGAGCAGCAGAAGCTAAGCTCTCACATCATCACACAGGCACTGGAAGCAAGAGAACGACTGGAGATCTGGCAAGGCTTAAGAAGTCTTTAAGCCCACCCCTAGTGACATGCTTCCTCCAGGATAGCCACACCTTCTAAGACCTCCCAAAACAGCGCCATCATCTGGGGACAAAATATCCAAACACTTGGAGTCTGTGGGGGACATTTTCATTCAAACCACCACACTAAGTGAACAAACTCTACCAAGAACTCTTCCTGGGCTTCTGGGACTCCTTTGCCGCCTTGTATCCAAGTTCAGGGTGCTCTGAGGTGCCCATGAACCACAGCACACTAGACACCTTCTTTTAAGAACATTTTTTAAAATTATTATAATAATTATATAATTAAAATAATTATGTGGTGGTGCACATAAAGGTGTGGTGGCACACACCTTTAATCCCAGCACTCGGGAGGCAGAGGCAGGTGGATCTCTGTGAGTTCAAGGCCAGCCTGGTGGTCTTCATAGTGAGTTCTAAGACAGCTGGGGCTACAGGGAGACCCTGTCTCAAAAAGACCAAAAAAAAAAAATTATTTTCATCTTTATTTTTTATACTGATGAGTGACACATGTATATAATCTACAAATTACAGTAAATGTATTTTAAGGTTTACCTCCATTGACAAATTGTCCTCCAAAAAGACTAGACCCTCATTATCTAATTTGGTAGCCAGTAACCACATTTAGCTTTTTAAAGTTAAAGCTTAGATAGAGCTGAGAAGACAGCTCACTCAGTAAAGTGCTTGCCACACAAGCATGAGGACCTGAGTTCAGTCCTTACGACCCATGTGTAAAAGCAGCACATACTTGTAACCTCACTTCTGGTAAGGTGGACGCAGGAGGCTCCCTGGGGCTACTGGCCAGCCACTCTAGCTGAATTGGCAAGCTCTAGGTTCAGTGAGAGACCTTGTCTCAAAAAATGATTTTGGAGAGTGATTGAGGAAGACACCAAAGTTGGCCTCTGGCCTATATACCCACATGTACATGCACACCGTTGCATGCATGAACATATACACAAAAATCAATAATATTTAATTAAATAAAGTCTAAAACATAGTTCCTTAGAGGCATATCAAATAGATTGTAGCACTGAAGAACATTCCGAGGGTTAAACCAGTCCCTGCCCCGGTACCAGGGCTGTTTCTCTGCACCTTGCCAGCACTGGAGACTGCAATCTGATTTTGCCAATTTACTCATTGAAAGTGGTAACTATTATCACTTTGCATGTTTCTAATATCACTGATTTAGAGTCTTTGTGAGTTAAAAAGTTTTAACTGTTTAGTAAATAATCTTTTCTCCACGTTTAAGAATTCTCTCTAGGCCAGGGAGATCAGCAGGTAAAGGCACAAAGCCTGACAATCTGAGTTCAATTCCCTGTAACCTACGTGGTGGATTTCCACAAGTTGTCATCCGACCTCCAGAAGCCTACATACAAATAAATATAAAACTTTTTTAGAATTTCATATATTAGTACTATATTTATATAACTTCTACCTTTCCTTCTCCCCCTATAAAATCCTTCTAATAGTTACTAGTATAATTTATTTGTACACTTGCTTGCAGAGGCAGCAAAGCACAAAGGTTGCCTGATTTGTTTCAATTATGTTAATAGAACCTCTCGATTATAAAGAATGTCCTTCCTTAAAGCATAATAAGTATCAGGTTTCCTGCCACAGTAAGGTCTCTGTTCTCTGATCACAGCCTGACCACATATACCCATTCTTCCTCAGAGCAGTGAAAAGGACAAAGAAAGGAATCAGAACTAGGTCCAAACCCAACCTCTGCTGCTTTCTGGAACTTCTTTTCCTTGTGTGTAAAACTGGGGTAATGATAGTGTAAAATACAGTGTGAAAAGTAAACTAAAGATACATGCAGAATGCCTAGCGTGCTGCCTGACGTGTGGACAGCGGCTGCTGTGTCACTTCATCTGAATTCACCATGCCCTTTCTCCTGTGCACTGTGGTCCTTTCCTAGGAATGGTCAAGCTCTTAGAACTCAAGACCACAGTTCAGAATTCCAGGACCATCAAGATGGGCTCTGCCTTGCCAGATAACATCATCACCCAGCGGGAAGACTCAGCAGGAGCCATGGAGGATGAGGAGCAGGAGGAGGCTGCTGAAGGTGAGGCAGTGGCCATAGAAGCCCGGCCTCGGAGGCGGAAGCCAAACAGGCTGTCTGAGGGGGCAGTCAAAGTCGAGCCAGAGGAGAAGCTTAGAGGAAAGAGGCAGAAAGACTTTGATATATCAGAACAACATGAATCCAGTGATGAAGAGAGCCAGAAAAGAGAGAGAACCCGTGCTTCAGAGGAGGTGTGGACTCAGAATCAACAGAAACTTCTAGAATTGGCATTACAACAATATCCAAAAGGAGCCTCTGACCGCTGGGACAAAATAGCCAAATGTGTCCCATCTAAGAGTAAGGTGGGTAACGAGTGGCTGTGTCACATGTGCCTGCATCCTCTACCGCGCACTCATCTCTGCACACTCATCTGATTAGTGGGTGGTGTAAATGAGGTCAAACACTGTTAGTCTTTATGCAAACTGGCTAGTTTTCCTCAAAGAAAATTCCGTTTATAAAACATAAACTTAGGCTGGCAAGATGGCTCAGTGGGTAAATGTGCTTGCTGCCAAGCCTGATGACCAGGGACCCATATGGTGGAAGGAGAGAACCAACTCCCTCAAGTTGTCTTCTAACCACATGTGTGCTGTGGACGGACACACACACACACACACACACACACATACACAAATGGTTCCCATTGTATCCTGCCAGCCTCCTGGAAAATTCACTCTGAATTGAAAGGGTGGTCTTAAAGAAGCATAGGGCTGGCAAGAAGTGTCCCCTGCTCCAAAAAAAGCAGTGTCAGGCCCTGTGGCTCTGAGATAAGTCTGTAGCCAAAGGGGCATGTAGGTCAACCTGCCACAGGCAGGATAACTCTTGGATCTGCAGTGGAGGCAGTGGAGTGAATTCAGACTTCATGGTGGCACCGCACCACCCAGAGACAGAATGGGCCTGTGGCATCAGTGCACCTTAGGACTTGACTTCCCTTGGCAATCTAGGCTGTTTATAATCCATTATTTCATCCACAGCTCTACAAAAGCTGCTAGTAATTCTTCTCAGATACAGGCAGAAAGAAGCTTGGTGAGACCAGCCTGACCAAGGTTGACTTCCTCTTCCTTGTCATTTGACAGTTTGGAGCCATGGAGCTCCTACGTGTGATCTTTCCCGTCCAGACTTTCTCTCCACCACAGCTTCTTCCCTTACAGGCTGTGCTCTGAGTATGAGGCAGTGGGCACAGAAATGGAAAGAGCCCATCTCCAGCAACCTCTGCGTTTCTCAGCTGTAGCCTCAGGGCACACTGATGCTCATTTACATTCTTATTTTTTTTTTAATTGAAATTCTATGTTGGAAAATCTAGCTTGTGGCCATGCATGTCCCTGAGTGCACAGGTCTACTTATCTATCACCTACTTTAAAATGATGAAATTGAGAGTTCCTGGGGAGAAAAATAAACCATTAGCAGTTGATCTCTTTGGGAAGCACAGATTCTCCCAGCCTTTCCAACTGGTTTGCCAGAAGTAATTATTTCCCTGAGTTTCTCTAACGTCTGTCAGACACAGGCATTTACATGTGGGATGAATTGAGCTTGTCTCAAAATGAAAGCACTGGAAGGGTATTGGAAACCTTCTTGTTTCAACCAGTAAGAGCCCCGAAGGTATCTTCTTGAGCCTCAACTACCCTAAATGCCACACAGGTCCTGTAGGATTGCCTGCTCACCCTCTGCTACCAGCCTGAGGTGGCTTCATGCCAATTCGAACTTCAGGTCCTGTCAGGTTTGCCATCAGCTTGCTCAGCTCAGGACCCACACTGTCCTCATGAGGGTTAAATGCTGAGTCTGGCTCAGATGGTTCTCTGATGATACCTTTAAGGCCCTGGGTGAGTGGTGTTTGGGATATAACTAGAAGAGTCTCTTATAGCACAGTAGTACCAGAAGAATGGGTACCCAAGCCAAGTTCCAGGTATCTGATTAGGGCCTCTGCTCCAGAGCAGAAGTAACTCCCTAGACTCCGAGTTAACAGAGGCCTGTAGTACCATGGACTGGTATTACCCAAACAGAAACTGAATGAAAAGACAAAAGTATATTGAGGCCAACTTGAGAAGAACGGGGCCTCTGCCCACCTTTATCTTGTCTGTGCCTTAGTCCCACTGCAAAGGAGACTGAGGTCATCATTCTGCACCCTGGCTAGGTGGGTCGCTGCAGTGGAGCAGGAGGAAGACTTGCCCACAAGTCTTAAAGTGTGAGGCCCACAAAGGAAGGTCCCAGCAGCCCCCAGGGAGAGGCAGATCCAAAGAAGAATAGCATTGTGGCCTGGTGTCTCTTGGTTTCTCTGAATGGGTGTGAGATAGTGGAATGCTGACATTGAAAATACATTGAGGCCAGCTTGAGAAGACCGAGGCCTCTCCCCAGGACTCATAGTAGCCTTGGGCCCCTCACTAAATGGTTAGCACCTTCACCGGGTCCTGGCCTTGCAGCTGGCCTTCTCTAACCAGATCTGCCTGGGACCACCTGGGCTTGTCCAGGACATTCCAGATGGTTCTGGACAAAGGGAATGAATGCACCACTGCCTCATTAGTATTAGGCACTAGCCAGCATGCTGGGAATGGAAATAACTGTTCTCTCTCTTTCTTCCTACAGGAAGACTGTATTGCTAGGTACAAGTTGCTCGTTGAACTGGTCCAAAAGAAGAAACAAGCTAAAAGTTGAATGTTGTGGAAGATGATTTTCACCTTCATTTTCCAATGAGTATTTCAGAAATCTCATGCAGAATCGTGCATTTTGTACCTCAGTATTTCTATGAGTCATGTGCCTTAGTAAAACAATAAATCATAAATGTGCTGTGTTTAAACAGCCTGTGTCAAGGGGAAGGGACTTGGATGTTCTGTGGATTGTTTTCTTCCCCTTTCTTCTGGGGTCTTTTCAAATAGTGTGTTCTAGTGACCAGGCAGATAGGACCATGCAAGCAAGCTAATGTGGAAGAGCTGTAACAGTATGTTCTCTGAAAGCGTAACGGAAGAGCACAGCTGATGTTTCTGTTGGAATTGAGTGATAGGGTGTAGTTGCTTACAGAGAAACGCACCAGCATGGCCTCACTGGCTGGCAGAAAGCAATGGGGGGCATCTTAATTAGTTCTCTGTATCTAGAAAAAAACAGCGAACAAGAACATGGGTAATAGTCTAAGTTTGGGTTGCTTGGTAGATGTGTGTTCACAGCTGATAGAATTCCACAGACACACAGGAGCGTTTCTAGGAACTGAAGAAGCTGGGTCCTCTTTCAGTGACTTTGGTTAAAGTCACTTCTGTTTATTCCTGTTGAGCGTCTTCCCACTGTTTGTGTTTGAGCTGTCCCCATCTGCTGAGCATTCATTTTAAAATTTGTTGTTGCTCAGAGCTTGAAAATGGTTTGATAAAATGCAGCATATCTGTATTAGTTACTTTTCTATTGTGATGAGACACCATGACAAAGGGAACTTACAGAAATTCCAAAGGGTCCATAATGGTGGGGGAAGCCTGGTGGCAGAAGGTGGCCAGAACAGAAAACCAAGGTCTCGATCATATCTTCAAGCAGGTACACAAGGCAGAGAGAAACAAGAAAGCCCGCCAGGCTGAAGATCTCTCTGAGCTGCCCCCAGTGACGTGCTTCCTGCAGGATAGCCACACCTCCTAAGACCTCCCAAAACAGCACCACCAACTGAGGACAAAATGTCCAAATACTTGGGAGTCTATGGGGGATGTTCTTATTCAAACCACCAGAATATCTAAACTTGAAAAACTTTTAGGTAACCAGAACACACATTTAAGGGAAATGATTTGATGTCTGGAGGAAACTTTGGGTGGCAGAGATCCCCTCTCTGCTCAGTACACATTCATACACAGCCAGACAGGGAGCTAGGTAAGCCCAACCCCTTCCCTGGGCACAGATGACAAAGGAAGCCTCAGGTTTCAGCTTACCTTGTGGACTTCACCCCAAACTCAACCCCTAATTCCAAGAAGAACAATCTGAAAAATGAAAAGGCAGCAGATCACAGCTAATGGCACCATGGTCTTTTGATCATCACTGAACAACTCGAATGAGTCCTGGAGCAGCCGCGTCATCCCCTCAGCTCTCTGGGGAAGGGACAAGGAGACATAGAGAAGACCACTTCTGCCTGGCAGAGGTAGGGCCAGGACAGCCAGAACCTACTAGTTCTGCCCACCCTTTTCCTGATAGCAAGCCAAGGCTAACCAGTCCTGAGCAAGCAGCTCTTCCTTGGGGCTTCTTCTGGAGCTGGTGACCCATGACATGGCCACCATACCCTCTCAGATGGCCCCATCGCACCCCTGTTCATCTGGGAAAGCCTTGGAGATTACAAGAAGTTTGTAGGAGGAACAAAGGAAAATAGATTGTCCTGGCTGTCTTCCAGGCCCTGCCTGGGTCGCTCATCTTTAGTTCCGCCTCAGGTGGGTCTGCCATGCAGCTTGTTACATCTGTGGGCATCCTGCGTCTAGATTACCCTTTTTATTTAGTTACGATGCTTTGAGTTGGGTTTCTGTTACATGCTGTCCTAAAATCCTAGTACAACTTTCCTGGGCTTCTAGAACAAAATGTGCCTCATGGCAGGGCATGATGACGTGCGCCTGTAGTCCCAGCACCCAAGAGATAAATGTGGGAGGATTGCTGTAAGTTTGATGCCAGCCTGGTCTCCACAGTTGAGTTCCAGGCCAGCCAAGGCTACATAATGAGACCCTTCCTCAGAAGACAGAGGGGTAGGGTAGAGGGAGGGGAGGGCTTTGTCAAATACAGCTGGTTTTGGAATCCTTAAACTTGCTCACCCTCAAGAACATGAGGCCTCAGCACAGCTACTTGAACCCGTCTCTGGCTTCCAGGAAAGAGCTGTTCTCCATGGGACTCTGGATCCTGAAGGCTCTGGTTGCTGTAGGACCAAAGAGAGACAGGAGAGGGTCCCCACAGAGCTGCAGTCCAGACAGAAGATAACTCCAAAGGGGGCCCGAGTTCCAACTGTGACCCCACCCACTTTTTAGCCCCAATGGCCCCAAACACGGGGCCTCCCAGGAGGCTTTTTTAATGTGTATGAGTGTTAGGCCTGCATGTATGAAAGTGCACCAGTGTCATGCAGTGCCTTTGGAGCTCAGAAGAGAGCATCAGATCCCCTGGAACTGGAGTTACATGCAGTTGTTAGCTGCCATATGGGTCCTGGTATTTGAACCTGGATATTCTGTAAGAGCAGCCAGTGCTCTGAACTGCTTAGCCATTTCTCCAGCCCCGGTGAGGCTTTTGGCCTCACCAAGACACACTCTGTTCTCTTGCCATCCACAAGTGCCTGTACTGGTGTTTCTGCCTCATGGCTTCACGACAATCAGCCAGCAAACTTCTCCCTTTTCCTAGAATTTTCCTATACACAGTCCCTCCCTCCCTCCCTTTCTTCCTTCCTTTTTTCTTTCTTTTTATGCTAGGGAGAAGTTGGCTATACCCACTGACGTGAAATTTTGTTGTGCTTGTTAGATGAAACATTCCTATTCCCCATGGGAGGGCCTTTCTAACCCTGTCCTCCGTTTCCATCCTCCATAAACGTAGAGTTTCTTTGGGACATAGCTTTTAGAGCCTAGGATGTTCTCATGAGCTGTTTTAATAATGGCTGTCAGACTGACACCTAACAGCCAGGGGCCCTTCTGAGGGCAGTTGCTAGGCAGCAGCCATGCTTTGTGTTTGCCCCACCTTGTGTTTGCCTTATTGGTACCTGTGTGGTCACATCTGGCTGGATACCAGGGGATGTGGTGGGGAGGAACACAGACAACCCATGGGCTGGTTCCCCCAGTGCCTCCTAAGCTGTTACTAAGTCATGGCATTGTAATTACGAACTGCTGTTAGTTGGGAAGATAATCTGTGTGAAGGTTTCCTTCACTCACCGTCTCTAGAGCAGTCAGCATCCTGTTTCTGTACCATTGTTCAATATTACCATCATTGGCAGAGCTGATGAGCCAGAATTGGCTCCCTCCAACTTACATCCCTGCCTGGGGGTCCTTGGTCCATGGGCAGACTCCCTGGATCTGCACCAAGTCAGTAGGAAGAAGGCCGGTCTTCCCTAGGTGCTTGCAGAGTCACTAGCCAGTGCTGTACATTTATTCCAAGGCTTCCTAGTAAGCCAGAGTGAACAGAGCCTGGGGCTGAACCTTGGACAGAAGGGGCCCGGGCCCAGCTGGCTACTGATGGCTACTGATGGCCTGGGGACTAAGCAAGTTAGCCTCTGCCTATTTCCTATCTCAAAAATGCAGATGTTAATATCTCACAGTCATTGGGACCCTCCAGCCTTGCCCACCACACTAGACCTTTCCCTTGCCACTAAATGAGAACTTTTTGTCTTCCAAGCCAACATCAGCAAGTCTCTGTCTCTTCTTAGATGTGTTTTAAATAAAGGGCAGATTGTGAGTCAAAGGACTCGGGTCTGAATCCTGGGTGTAGACCAGAATGGGCCACGTGTGTTCTTGGAACACACATAGTTCCTGAAGAGGCTTGGAGCAGAGCGCTCCCTCCATCTTGCTTGAGTGCTGCATCACCTGACCACCCTGCTATGGAAAGAAGGGACCACAGGGGTGATTTTGTTCACACTTGGTTTAGCAAGATCCAGGATGCACTTGGTGGTGCCTTAAGCTGACCCCCAGCATTCTGAGGTGCCCCTATCTCTCAAGATGTCTGAGACCCCAAAATATGTCTGGGTTGGGTGCAACTGGATGAGGGCCTACCTACGAGGGGCTCACCTGAGTCAGTGTTGGGAGGGTCTCCACCTGAGTCAGGCTCCATCTCCTGGCTACACCTCTTGCATAACCCTCCCTCCACTCCCTCAGAGTGACTGTTATCTGGAGTGAGACCAGACTTTGGATGAGACTTTATGTCACTACAATGACATCAATACATTAGACATTCAGGAAAACAGGTTTCAATATTTCATCCTAAACTGTAAAGCCCCTCCCCCACCCCCCATTAATGGTCCTAAAACAAGGCCAACTTCTAAGTAACCACCAAGAAGTGATTGTCACGTTTCTCTGGCCTGAGGTTTCCCATCAAAACTACCCTCCTAAGTTGGTAGACATGAGTAGGAGCTGTTGGAGGCAGGGTCAGTGCATTAGTTACTTTTCTGTTGCTGTGATAGAAACACTGACCAAAACAACTTACAAAAGGAAGAGTTTATTTGAGCTTATGATTCCAAAGGGACAGGAGTCCATATGGCAGGGAGGCATGGCAGTAGAGGTAGCTGGAGGAGTGGAAGCTAGGCTCTACATTTTGAAGCAGGCACAGGAAGCAAGAGAGCAAGGAAGACAGGAGGGGGCATGCCAGTAATGTTCTGGAATAGCAGTGTGCACAGGGAAGTGGGCTGACAGTGCTCTGAATGTCCTTGGGTCAGTCTACGTGGTGAGGGATGCAAAGAGAAAGTAGACAGGCCCCTTCCTCTTCCCTGCCTGAGATTGTACTGTGGGTAGCTGTGCTGGTGCCTGGGCTGGACTGGGGCACAAGGCACTCTGCTGCAGGTGACAGCAGTTGAGATAGGCAGTCTCCCAGAGTGAATCAACGCCTCCCAGTTATCACGTGACTTACTCAGCAAAGCCCACCATATTACAAGAAATTCCTGCTTTAAAGCGGGATTAGGTGGCCCACATCTGTAATCCAACACTTGAGAGGTGGTGGCAGGCGGATCAGGAGTTCAAGGTTACCCTCCAGTACATAGCAAGTTTGTGACCATCTCTCAACAACAACAAAGGCTAGAGTCTCCAAGGAATAAACTAGGGAGTGTTGGAAAACAGCTATCAGAAAAAATGTGTGACAGCTAAAAATCCCCATTCTAACAGCAGGGTAAAAATAAGAAATG